ATATATATATGATGAGAGATATGTTTGATTATTAGAGAGAAAGAGATGAAATAACAAAATTCCAGTGACTGATTATGGGTTATGGATTATTGGATGATAGCATTATTCTCAGCCCTCAGCAACCACCTCCCGCATGTGTTGCCCCACGTCTCGCGTGTTTCTGTTATAAATTTGTTATAGGAATTCCGTACAAAATTTGTTATAGGAATTCCGTACATTATGAAGCACGTATTGCATTTTCTTTTCTTTTCTTTTCCCTTTCCTTGTATATAAAGGGCCTTTTGGCCTCTTTGTTAATAGTGAATCTTTCCATATTTTTCACGTTCGTTTTATGGTACTAGAGCTACTCATCATGAGAGCTTTGCTGCGCTCCTAACTTTTCGTTTTTCACCTCCAATCTTCTGACGATGACAGACCCTGATTTTGGAGATGTCTCTTATGTAATCAGTGCCATGAAGGACTCATAGAATCCCTTGAGCCCCTACTATCTACACCCTAGAGAGAACCCAGGAGCAGTACTGGTTTCCACTCAATTGGAAGGTGGAAATTATCACTCATGGAGCAGATTCATAAAGAGAGCTTTGCAATCGAAAAACAAATTTACGTTTGTCGATGGTTCAATTCCAATGCCTACACCTGAGGATGAATTATATGACGCGTGGGAGCGATGTAATGTCATGGTGATCTCATGGATCACCAGATCTGTCTCAGCACAAATTGCTCAAAGCACTATCTATATAGATAATGCGCAGGAATTGTGGCAGGATCTGAAGGATCGCTTTTCGAAAGGGGATTATTTCAGAACCTTCGACTTACTACAAGAAATTCACTCGATCAGGCAGGGAGATCGCAACATCTCCAGCTTTTTCACTGATTTAAAAATCTTATGGGAGGAGCTGGAATCTCTTAGGCCTATTCCTTCTTGCTTGTGTCAAGTGAAATGTACGTGATCTTCTTCCAACTATTAAGAAATATAGGGACTCTGAATATGTTATCTGTTTCCTGAAAGGTTTGAATGATCAATTTGCTACCATTAAAGCACAAGTTTTATTAATGGAACCTCTACCTACTATTAACAAAGTTTTCTCACTTATTCTTCAACAAGAGAGACAACTCACTGGAACCACTGCGATTGACTCCAACGTACTGATGAATATTAGCAGTAGTAATAGACCTATGACAGGTTCACCTAGCAATGCTAACCAAAATTTCAAGAGTGCTCAGTCAAGGGGCACTTTCTCTAACAATAGAGGAAGTAACATGAGAGGTAGAGGCAATTCCAGAGGTGGTTCTGTTAAGCCTAAGATTTGCACCTTCTGTTGTAGAGAAAGGCACACAGAAGACACATGCTACTTCAAGCACGATTTCCCCCCTGATTTTGTGTTCAACAAGCCCAGAAATGTCAATGCAAAGGTTAACAGTGCAGTCACTAATGATGTTGAGGAAGTCAATGATTGTGCAGAAGAAAATGAAGAAGTAAATGCTAATTCTAATTCAGATCCCACTCAAGCACCTAGTTACAGCTTCAGCCCAGAACAATATGCACAGATAACTGCATTGCTCAACAAATTGAACACTAATCAGGAACATCATAGTGCAAATCAGATTCATGGAGAAACTCAGATGCATAAGAATTCAGGTACTCTGTCTTGGATATTGGACACTGGTGCTACAGATCATGTTTGTCAATCCTTAACCTATTTTGATGCTTTCACTGCAATCAGGCCTATTCAGATTAAGCTACCAAATGGCTCTGTTGTGCTTGCTAAGTTCTGAGGAACTATTAGACTCTCTAGGGATTTTATGCTCTATGATGTTCTCTATGTACCTGAATTCAAATACAATTTAATTTCCATTCCCAAACTTACTAAGACAATTAAATGCAAGCTAATCTTTGATGATTTACATTGTGTGATTCAGGATATGACTACCTTAAAGATGATTGAGCGTGCTGATGTTCAAAATTGCTTATATGTCCTTAGCCAACCTACCAAGCTTCAAGCACCAAATCAACACATAATCAACTCCATTATAGCTAAAAAACCCACTGTACCTTTCTTTGATTTGTGGCATTTTAGATTAGGTCACCCCTCCATTCTAGTATTACAAAATATATGTAAACATTTCCCTTTTATTAAGTTTGATTCAATGAAAGTGTGTGATTACTGTCATTTGGCAAAACAATCCAAACTCCCTTTTCCCCCTGGTATTCATAAAAGTTCTGCACCTTTTGATCTTATTCATATAGATATATGGGGACCATTAGCCATTTCTTCCATTCAAGGCCATAAATACTTTCTCACTATTGTAGACGACTTCACAAGACACACATGGTTGTTCCTTATGAAATCTAAACATGAAACCAGAATTTTAGTCAAGAATTTCATTACTCTTGTCCAAACTCAGTTTAATAAAAGAATAAAAATCCTTAGAACCGACAATGGGCTTGAATTTTCCATGTCTTCCATCTATCAGGATTTAGGTATAATTCATCAAACATCTTGTGTGGAAACACCACAACAAAATGCAGTTGTTGAAAGGAAGCACAAACACATTTTGAATGTCACTCGATCCCTTTTATTTCACTCAAAATTACCTAAATCATTCTGGAGTTTTGCAGTCAATCATGCTGTTTTTTTTATTAACCGATTACCCTCTCCTGTCCTAAACCAACTAAGTCCTTTCCAGCTACTATACAACACCAAACCTAACCTAAATGACTTGAGATTTTTTGGTAGTTTATGCTTTGCATCCACATTACAACAACATAGAACCAAACTTGATCCTAGAGCCAAAAAGTGTTTATTCCTTGGTTTCAAACCAGGAACCAAGGGATACATTGTATTTGACCTTCAAACCAGAGAAATCTCCATTTCTAGGAATGTGATATTTTATTAGCACATATTCCCCTTCATTCCTGACAAAGTTCCTGATTTTTCCTCCCTTAACCTGCCAAATAAAAGTACATCACACTCCTACATTGACTCACTAGATTTTCTCACCTTTCACAAGCCTCCTACACCACAGCAACAAATCTCACATGAACCATCACCCACTTATCAAGTTCCATCATCCTCTCACACCATGCCTAACCAATCCGTGACAACCCCCCGTCCTGCTCATTCACCTCAGCAACCACCTCCTTTGCCACTTAGAAGATCACAGAGAATACCTTTTCCACCTACCTACCTCAAGGACTTCCATTGCAATTTTCTTACATCATCACCTCAGTTGTCCAAAGGTATTTCTCATCCTATTTCTTCTGTTATAAATTATAACACATTGTCATCATCACATTTGCATTATGTCTTATCTCTTTCCACTCATGAAGAGCCTAAGTTTTATCATCAAGCTGTCAAGTTACAAGAATGGGTTGTTGCAATGAAGGCTGAAATTGATGCTTTGACAGCAAACAACACCTGGACCATTGTTGATTTACCTTCTGGCAAGCATCCCATTGGCTGCAAATGGGTTTATAAGATCAAATACAGATCAGATGGCTCAGTGGAAAGATACAAGGCAAGATTGGTTGCCAAAGGGTTCACGCAAACTGAGGGACTTGATTACTTTGAGACATTTGCCCCTGTTGCAAAATAGAAAAGAAAAAGAAAATGCAATACGTGCGTCATAATGTACGAAATTCCTATAACAAATTTTGTACGGAATTCCTATAACAAATTTATAACAGAAACACGCGGGACGTGAGGCAACACATGCGGGAGGTGGTTGCTGAGGGCTGAGAATAATGCTATCATCCAATACCCCCCTTCAAGCTGGAGTGTATGTCAAGCACTCCAAGCTTGGACAGTAAGTGAGAGAAGGGAGATGGATCAAGAGCTTTGGTAAATAGATCATCAGGCTGCTCAGTAGTAGAAATGGGAAGTAGATGAAGCAAGTGATTTTGCAAATGCTCACGAACCACATGACAATCAATGTCGATGTCTTTGGTGCGCTCGTGGAATACAGAATTGGCAGCAATGTGACGAGCTGAGGCACTATCACAGAAAAGCAAGGCTGGAGCAGTGAAGGGGATAACAAGATTGGTAAGCAAGTAAGTCAACCATTGAATCTCACAAGATGTTGATGTTAAGGCCCTGTACTCTGCCTCGGAAGAAGAACGAGACACAGTGCTTTACTTCTTTGAACGCCAAGAAATAAGGGAATTGCCCAGAAAAATGCAATATCCAGAAATTGATTTCCGTGTGTCAATGCAGGCTGCCCAATCAGAGTCACTGAATGCCTTAAGTTGTAAGGGAAAAGAGGCAGGATAGAACAAACCTTGGCCTGGTTTGCCTTTGATATATCTGAGGATACGGTGAAAAGCCTTAAGATGAGCGGTGGTGGGAGCTGCCATGAACTGACTAAGTTGTTGTACAGCATAACTGATGTCAGGTCTGGTGTTTGTGAGATAAAGCAAGCGACCAACAAGCTGTCTGTACTCACCAGGCCGGACGAAATTGGGTTACTACACACTTACAAGATAAATCTGAAAAGATTATTTATAAACTCTTTTAAATTAAAGTTAAATAGGTTTGACAGCAGCGCAGGGGTGAGCAAAAGCAAAGTATTGGTATAATTACCCAAAATATTAATTGGATTATTTATTTAAATTAAAAATTGAGCTAATCAAAATATAATATATATATATATATATATATATAAAAGAAGATCAGATCAATATGATATTTTAATTTAGTATATTAATATTAACATATATAATTAAATTAAAAAATAAAAAATAAAAAATTTAAACTAAGATATATTTTACGATATATATTTTAAAAATATATAATTTTATTATAAATATAATATAAAGTTATACAAAGTATTGTCTATTAAAAAAGTTTATTAATACACAATTATTCTAAGAATTTATACATTTAAAAGAATAAGGATAGGTTGGAATGACTTGAAGTATAATTCGAATTCATTTAAATCAACAAGGGAATGAGTTGGATTCGTGAACGAGTTGAATTTTACTCACCCTTATTTGACATATTATTTAGATTTATGTAATTAGATGATTAATTAGTAACGACGGGAAGAGAAGTTAATTGAAATCACTTGAAGAATTATTGACTAACCCATAAAATTATGGATAAAATTAAGTATAATTTCTTAAGTATAGTTAGTGTTATTCTTTAATCAAAGTTGGAGTTTTATCTCAATATTATATATTTGCATTTAATGTAAGACTCATTAATATATATTTACACGTAATCATGAAGTAAATATCTAATTTTAATTGTTATTTGTTAGACTTTTTGCAGTATTAATTTGCTTCAGAATCTTTGGACACATGAACCTGTACGCTACCCTCATATTCCTTTGGTTGTGAGGTAACGTATATTAATCGTAATGTATATCAAACAAAGAAAATGGGTTAATATAAAATCAATCGCTGAATATAAACCACAATCCTATCGAGTTTTGTTGGGCATAGGAATGCTATCCAACTCCACTCAGATTAGTTAGATACCTAATATGATATTTAAATATCGGTAATCTTAGACCAAAAAATAGGCTAATGATAAAGTTTATTAGCATTTTGTCGATCTCAAATTTTCTCTATATGAAACAAAGTCATGTCATGAGGTCTAACAATTTATTAATAGAATTAGAGATTCATGCTTTGACAGGAGAGGTTTTATCACCCAGTCAGACCAGCAAAATAATTTGCATGATGTGTTATATTTAAACGTGAAATTTTATCCATCCCTACATATTTAATATGATATTTTGTTTTAATCAGGAAAAAGAATTATAATTACGAAATTTAATTTAAGCCTTTATATATATCATTTTAAACTCTCACCATTAGACAATTCTAATACTTCACATTTAATAAAATATTTTTGCATTATCGACTAAAAAATATATTCAACATGCACACACATAACAAGAAAAAGAATTAGAGACGGCATGATTAATTAATTAAGTTGTTATTTCTAATTAATTTGACCATGTTTTTATTTTAAACTTCTGAAGCTTTTGTTTTTGTCGATGTCTAACATGCTACTTCATACAAATTAATGTCCTTTGGTCTATAATTGAAACGTTTGTAGGATCAAATTCTTAAAATTAGTTTCGTCGTCAAATAAATGTCTAATACCACATAATCATAACTCTCCTAAAACCTAAGCTGTTGCGTAAAAGTATTAAAATGATTTTATGTAACTTAACGGGTATATAAAAAAAATAATAAAAAAAAAGAACAACAACAACAGCAACAAGAAGGATATCACTTGCTTTATACGACGACACTAACAGGATAATAAGCAAAATATTTTATAAAATCCTATACAACTATTTGGTGAAAGAGATTAAATGCATCAACATTCAAATTTATGAAATACAAACAAGAGAAATCCAATGACTACAATACTATACATATTCAAGCATTTTATAAAAAGTAAAAATTTAAAGAGACCGGAGAATTAAAGGAAATGAACATCACCAACTAGTTTTAATTTTTTTGAAAAACATCTTTTAAACTTATATTAAATTTTGAGCACTCAGTCAATTCGTTTCTTATATTTACTGTATAGGACAATAATCTTGTGATTACATTGATTAGCATATATTGTGATTTGCATCCTTATAGAATTAAAACTAGTGTTTTTAATCTTTATTTTTATATGATCATTTTTTAACTATTTTTTATTTATTAAAAAAATTAAGTAATCATTTTAAGTGTTATCTACAACCATTAATGATATTATATTAATATTTAACATCTTTAAAAAAATTATAAATCTTTAAGATAAATGTTATTT